TAGGGTTTAGGGGTTCAGGGGTTGGGGTTTAGGATGTAGGGTTTAGGGTGCAGGGGTCAGGGGTTTAGAGTTTAGGGTTTAGGGGTTTAGGCTGAGGGCTTTGGAGGTTTAGACTTTAGGGTTTAGGGGTTTAGGCTTAGGGTTTTGGGGTTTGGGGCTGAGGGTTCAGGGTATAGGGTTTATTAATGGGAGTACAAAACCCTGCTGCCACTTCTTCTCGAAAGGTCTTTGAGAGCATACAGGTTCAAGCGATGGTGTTGCGTTGTCACACTTGCAGGTAGTTTGGTGTTTTGAAATCTTCAGTAGGGTCAACATAGACGCAGGTTGTGTACTGTATCAAGCATGCTCGACTTTCGCAGGCTTGCATACCTGATGCATGGGTTTCCATGGGCTTTGAATGAGTCACCTGAACCCTAAACTCAAAACCTTAGACCCAACCCGAAGCCTTCAATGTCCACATGCAACCTTCACTACTGGACTCTCTATCCTTGCCAGCCGACATGTTCATCCTTCTCGCCGGCTCTGTGGATGTGGAGACGGAGTTGGGAATAGTCCAGGTGCTGCATGTAGCTGGCCTCCGTCTGGGCATTTAAAGGCTTTGTTTCGAGGGCCCCTTCAGTGACTCAGGGACTCCATGCAGGGTTTAGGCTCCCCAAAAGTACGTCTAGGGTTTAGGGTTTAGGGTTTAGGGGTTTGTCTTCGTTTCCTCTAAGGTGCCCACAGAATCAGAATTTGGGAACACAGTACCATGATTGCCCATAAACCCTAAACCCTAAACCCGTCTGACCATGATATCCCGAATGTGGAGCAGTTCTATCCCACGGTCTAAACGTGCCCTAAACCCTCAACCCGACACCCTAAACCCCTCAACCCTGAACCCAAGACTTTAAACCCCCAGCCCTCTACCCCAAGCTTGCGAGTGACCCTATCTATTAGGCTTTGGGTTTGGGCTTCAGGGTTTTGGGTTTTGAGATTGGGGGGTTTGGGATCGTCTTTGCCAGACAGAGGCTGCAATTCAGAGGCTCAGAAGACTTCGCACGTCGGCTTTTAATCGAAATAGAAGTCAAGTCAGATACCTCCAAGTAGGGGACCCTGATCCTTTCCCTAAACCCTAAGCCCTAAATGGGTAGTTCTCTAAGTTAGGGTCCCTTGTAGGTCCCAATATAGTACGGCACCCTTATAAAAGGGACCCTAAACGGGACCCTAATTTAGAGAACTACCCAAACCCTGAATCCTCAGGGGTGGAGTTGATGGTTTCAGGTTTCAATCACGAGGAGAATCGCCCTTAAACGAGCCTCCATGCCTCAGTTGGCAGCTTAGCTCCTCGTGGAATCCTGGAACCTGAAATCAAGCCCATGGCAGGGCTTAGCGCTTTGGGTTTAGGGGTTTAGGGGTTTAGGGTTTAGGGGGCCCAGACGTATGGTTGGAGTTTGCTAGGAACCTTATGGTTTTCATGAGCGCAAAACCGGTAAGCTTAGTCTTCGCAACCCTGCACCTTAAACCCTGAGCCTCAAAGCAGAAGTACACCCTAAACCAAGAACCTCGAAGCCTACAACTTCCAAACATGTATGAAACCCTCAACCATAAGCATAGGAGCCGGTTTGAGACGGATTCCCGCCAGACCTCAGAACCCTACGGCCTAAAGACAAAATCCTGATCCCACGAACCGAAACCGATCCCTGAAGAATTACATCTGAATCGTCGTCAAGTTCTAAAGCCTATGAAACGGTTCGGGAACGCCCCAAGACCCTGAAACTGTTTTTGGTCTACTTTGTTCCCTCTCTCTCTCTGCATAAAAAAACAGATGTCGCATGCCATAGATCTACTGGCCAATAAATCCTAATCTGTCACCTATGAACAATGCTTGCCTAGACATTCATTATGTCCCTTGATCCGTAAACCCTGCCAAACTCTTGTAAAGTCCTGATAAAGCCGTTTAAGACCCTCGCAGGACCCGTGTAAGACCTTCGCAACACCCCTTTTTTAAGACTTTTAAGACCCTCTCAACGGATATAAAGCGTATAAGACCTTTGTAAAGCCTCGTTTTTTAAGGACCCTATCAACGGATATAAAGCTGGGTAAACCCTAAACCCTAAACCCTAAACCCTTTGCCATACTTTAGCACTTCCGTCAGGGGCACGTTTGGCCCGGCGAGGCCCTCCCTGCTGTGCTTATCGTGCGCTCTTAGGGTTTCATATGCGGTACCCCTGTCCACTTTATCAAGGTTTTTCAGGGATGTTTATTTTTTGAGTTTAGGGGCACCAGAATCAAAACCGTAAACTCTGAACCCTATTCTTCGGGCTCATGAATTACCGTACTGGGTCGCCTGAGCCTTTCCGTAGTACGATGAGTCTCAGAAACAGCTGTGGCGTCTGGAATTGACATGGGCTTCAGGGTTTAGGGTGTCTTGTTTGCGTGTTGGGCACGGAAGGTTCTCTAGTTTTGCATGCCCGGAGGGTTAATATTGGGGTCAGATGGATTCTTAAGGGTACCCCCCCTTTTACTCCATATTATAACCATTCTTCTCCTGCATGGCTTCATTCTGCTGTCCAAGAATGCGACCAAGAGCACCGCACAAAGGTAGATGCAAGAGTAAACAAAGCTATCCAAAATCTTTCACAACCTGCAACATTGCTGCTGAATCCAGCCTCCGAATCCCGAAAGAGCCCTTCATAGAATATCGTCGTAATCGTAAGGGTTTAGGATTATTGCATTTCTTCCGTGTCTTGTTGCTGCCCTGCTCTTACCATTTGCAGTAAGGTTCATAAATAGCTGTCTTCGGGCTAGCCGTACGAGAAGCTTGCACCTTAATCGAAGCCCTACAACGATGCCCTGAACCCTGAACCCGAAACCCTATATGTACGCAAGATAAACATCACAGATCCTAACTCGATTGCTGGCCTAAACTCTAGACCCTAAACCCTAGACCCTGAACCCTAAACCCTAAACCCTAAAACCACAACCCTAAACCCTAAACTCTAAACCCTAAACCCTAAAACCACAACCCTAACCCTAGACCCTGAACCCTAGAGGTCTTCGGTGAGGGAGGCGCCGCTATCGGCCAACAGTCCATGCGCAGTGCGTCGGCGCGCTCCTGGGCGGGTGCGTGGGAGCCCCGGGTAGGAGAAAGTCAAGAGCTCTCAGAAGGTTTTTTGAGCTTGGGGGTTTAGGGTTTTAAGTTTTAAGGGTTTAGGGTCAAGGGGGTTTTGTGTTTTAAGGGCTTAGGGCCAGTTTAGGGTTAAGGAGGTCTAGGGTTTTGGGGGTTTAAGGCTAGGCGGTTTAGGGTCTTGAGGGTTTAGGGGTTTGGGTTTAGGGCTGGGGGCTTTAGGGCCGTAAGGTTTCATGGTGGCTACGGCTCAGGTTCAGGGTTTGGGGCTTTGAGGGAGAGGATGGCGGCATGTGGGTTTTCACGAGTCAAGAGCTCAAGCGAAAGCAGGATGAGTTGAAGAATGCGGAAACACACACTTCTCCTTTAGGGTTTAGCGTTTAGGGTTTTCGGGTTTAGGCTTTAAGGTTTAGGGCTTTCGGTTTAGGGTTTGAGGCTGTAGGCAACATGGTTCTGGAAGCCCTGCTCGAAGACTTCCCATACAGTTTAGGTCCCACAAATCAATCGGCCGCACTAGCCAGCATTCAGCAGAACTGGACGTAAGGTGTTGTTGTAGTGGAGACGAAGACTTTCGGCGCATCTTGACACCTTTATCCTGAGCCCGATGCCTCAACCCTCAACCCTAAACCTTCGAACCTAACCCCGACACCCTAAAGCATCGTAAACCCGAAACCTGAATCCCAACACACACCCACACAGACACAAAACCCTAAACCCCTAGCCCTAAACCCTAAACCCTAAACCCTAAACCCTAAACCCTAAACCCTAAACCCTAAACCCTAAACCCTTAAACAAAAACCCTAAACCCAACATTTTCATCCCTAAGCCGATACATCGCCTCACGTGGGACGTCTCTGCTCAGGGGCTGCCAGCGGGTTTTCCCGTGTGTTCGCGTCTTCGCATGCCTATACCTTAACCTACCAAAATTTACTTTTTTGTAGGGTCCCTATAAATTCCATATTATGGTTTATAATAAGAACCTACAAAAAAGTAGGGTTTGGTAGTTTAAGGTAGAGCTCACGCTATCGGATATTTCTTGCTGTGATGTAAGGAACAGTCCTGCAGAAAGAAGCCATTGGAGCCTGAGGGATATGGGCAGTTCTCCAAATTAGGGTCCCTTTTTCGGCCCCCAATATAGTACGGCACCCTTATAACAAGGACCCCAAAAGGGACCCTAATTTAGAGAACTACCCATATCGAGACATGTCCGACTCCCTAGCGCTCTTGCCGCGGAAGCCACTGGGGCCACGACACTTGGCCGTTTAGGGTTTAGGGTTTAGGGTACAGTACGTTTTGCGGTTGAGAAGACGGGAATGCGTTGGTAAACTTTTCTGAAAGGTAACGGGCCAATGTAGGAACCTGATTAAGAAACCCTGGCGCTATATAGCCTATATTCATATAGAGAACCCTGATAAAATCAGGTTCCTGCAGTAGCCCTAAACGTCAAACATTCTCGAAACTCAACTCCAGGACTCTTCAATAGCCAAGCCTTAAAACCTAAACCCCTGAAGCCCCGGTCAACGAACAAACCCTAAAGCGCTAAACCCTGGCACTGTAAGGGTTTAGGGTTTACGGAATAGGGCGTTGAATCGAAGTTGCACAGGGTCTCCACCAAGAATGGCCCAGGACAAGGCCCGCCGGCTCCTCGACGGTTCAGCTCTACGACACAAGCGGCAACAACAACGCATGGATACCTGAGCTCCTCTTCTTGTGTGCTGGAGCAGGACCCAGAGAGCAACAAAGTCACGAACCAGAAAATACACCTTCCAGCATTACATCATCATCTTAAACCCCGTATAGCTTAAGGTACATTCCGTAATTTAGCGGTATTGGCCTTTCTGAGCGGCCCTTAAGCCCCAAACATAGACTCAGAGCTTCTGGAGCATGGTCTTCGCGGCAACAGACCTTCAAGCATAAGTCGTCAAGGTTCCCGGAGGGTCCATGTGCCTACAGTTTCTATGCGGTCTTAAAGGGTTTCCTAGAAGAATACATACTGTAGTTAGGGTCAAAGAATATACCATGCAACTACAATGACCCTTAAGGGGTTCCGGGTCCGGGTGCCGACTCCTCGCAGCATAGCCTAAATTTTTTTGTCGAGGCAACTAGCTGATGGACTTGCGTAACTAGGTTATGCTGCAGACAAGACACTACAGGAACGTACAATACAAAACCCTAAACCCTAAACCAAAGTATTGCGTCATGAGATTGCATACAAGTAGAGAGTATGGCCGTATGCACCCGATCCCCAAGTCTGACAAACTTAAAACCTCGTGGAGTATGGTCTTTGGGCCCGAGGCCCTAGGAGTTTATGATGGTTGATGTGGTCCCTCCCTCCCTCCCTCCCTCCC